TGACCTGGGTGCTCTGGCACAGAGTGCAAGTCGAAGACGGACAGGTCGGCAAACAGACCAGTTTGTGGGAGCTCTGCCTCCACGCGCTTCAACGTCAGGTCCACCACCGTCTGCACGGACGCCATGGTTTCGAAGCACTTCGCCTTCGCGGCCCCCTGCGCCTGGCCCAGGCCCATCGTTCTAGGCCAAGCCGTGAACACCTTGTCATGTACATACAACGGCGGCAGCGCCATCGCCTGCGTAATTATCAGCCACGGGGCACTCTGCTCCTCCGCCGGCTTCCCTTGCAGCTCCTTGAGGATCTCTGCGTCGCAGAACAGAGACTTCATCCGCCTGCGCCAGCGAAGGAACTTTTCCCTGAACAACGCCGGGTCTGCATCGCGCTGGTCAAAGAAGCGGATGAACGCCAGCACCTCCGCATTGAAATCCGCCGACAGCCCAGCCCTAACGATGAACTCGGGCGTCATGGCTGCCAAAAGCGCCATCGCCTGCTTCATGTCAGCCGGTTGTGTTCGCACATCAACGGCTCTTGCCGCCAGCGCCAGCATGACGGGCCCAAGAAGAAACGCAAATCTGCGCTTGGGCGTGCTCGAGCTCTCCCAGCGGTGCGCAGCAAACTGAAAATGCTTCAGCACCACATCGACAACGCCTGCGAGACGCCCACCCTGGCGCAAACCTTCTTGTATCGCCACCAGGCGCGCCCGCCACGCCTCAGAGACCAGTAAACGAATGTGTTCATACCCATGATGTATTTTTTTGTACAAGTAAGAACAGACTTTGAAGTTACAATCTATGAGTATGCAAAAAAAATTATCAGTCAAAAACACACACAACGCACACACATTGTGCAAAGTATCGTGCTTGTGCTGCAAGTCTGGCACCAGTGAGCCTTTCCCCCCAAAAAGCCGCGCCCACACCTCCGCGAAGTTGTCGTCCGCCACCTCGGCCGCCTGCGCCGCTAGCCTGATGGCATGGCTGGGATCGCGATGCACCTGGCTGCGGGGGGCCAGATGATAAGAAGGAACGCATCTTATCGGACTGCAGATAGTGAGTACGAGAAAAAACTATGTTTGTTCAAAGTATTTCTCCTGTCCTGTTCATATAATCATAATTTTTTTGTATACATATATACATACAACAATGATAATCATTCTCAACAAATCATGTTATATATATATTATATATACCTTTATATTATGTTGTTGGGAAGCTCTCGGTTTAACCTATAAATGAAAGCAGACCGGGTACTACAACCACGTTGGGCATCACCTCCTTGAGCAGCACGCCTGCCTTCAACAAAGCGCCATCGCCAGCGAAGATTTTGGTGCTCATCAGGATGTGGCTGTAGAGGCTCTCATCAAACTGGCCCATGATGTCCGTGCAAAAAAGTCTGACTGCCGCCAGAATGGAATCTCGCACCCGCACAGCATAATCCTCATCAAAGTATTGCAGCGCTGCGCCTGCGGACGCAGGCGTTTCCCTCGCCTGCGCGGGCTTGAGGAGCGCCAACATACCGGCTGAGGATTCGTGCTTGCCGCCTGCGACACCGCTGGACTTGTACATGAGGCAGCGGTGGGGCTGCTTGTCGTCCAGAGTCAAAGCCACCGTGTGCGCCCGCGCCAGCGCCTGCCGCTTGCCCACCCGCATCGCCTCCGCCAATATGTCCGCCATAGCACCAACAGCCGCCTTGTTCACTTCCTTCAGGTCCTCAACCCTTGAGGAGGAGATAAAATCCTCTGTCAAAGAGATCTGCGACGTTCTCGTCAAGGAAACCTGGCTTCGACACAGCCTCCAGATCCGCAGCCAGTCTGGTGGCTGCGGGACGGCTCCCTTCAGGAGCACATCGTCCTCCAGTGTTGCCTGGCCTGAGCAGGAGGTCCGCGTTCTCGGGTACACGAAGCACTCATTACAGTGTTAGACTAAGAAGTATAGAGTGGGCCTTCAACAAAAAATGGAAAATTCCCACCGTGGCTCTCAAGACGAGTTCCGCGTCGTCTGGGCGAAGCCAAACCTGCAGAGCCATCTTGTGCACCGCGGATCGGGAGTGCAGCTGCAGCGCCGACGCCTGCATGCTTGCAAAACCTTGCACCCCGAACCGTGCCCACTTGGTTGAGCAGCGCCTGCCTGGAGAACCCGCGGCACCTACGCCTTCTTGCATTTTCTTGCACAAGTTGTGGCAAACCAGGCACCCCAGCGCCCACGCCGGCCGCCCGCCTCAGCGGTTTGGCCTTTCTCGGAGCCAAACAAGACGCTTGCCTTGGCCTATCGTCGTCGACGACACCCCAGTGCGTTCCCAGCCTTTGCGAAGCTTCAGGAACTGGCAAACGGCACAGCCTGTCTGGAAGCTGGGGTGCACTCTTCTGTGAGGGTGTTCGCCGACGCCTGCGGCAGCGCCTGCGCTAGCCGACGACCCCGACGCCTTTGACGCCTTGGAAGCTTTCTTATTCTTCTGCGCTGAGCCCGACGCCTTTCGCGCTTTCTTTGGAGCCTGTCTCGCCCCTGACGGCTTCTTCTTTTTGACTGGGCGGGACTTGCTTGACGCTTCAGGTGCCTTCCTTTTCACCTGCACCGTCGCCCTCGCAAAAGAGGAAGGACCGAAAAGGTCTTTCAAGGGCACAGCAGGTCGGAAAACTACCATGACACGCAGCTGCAGCCAAAAAACTTCCACAAGCAAGACAATAAGCAAAACTCCAGGCAACGTCACATGCCCTTGCCACAAGAAGCCCACGGGCAGGAGTCTCCAGTAGTATGACATCATGTTAATTTATAACAGGAAACGAATACAACATACTGAACATAGAATATATGATCATTACATATTGACGATATGTTAATTATATTCCTTGGTATGAAAACATCCCATTGATATTTGCTGGCAGTTCCCGGTTGCATCACGCTCGCAACTTCCCGCCTTTGTCCTGGACGCCACGGCAACACTCGGCGTACAGCAGCACCGTGAGACACGCCTACAAGCTGGACCGCCCTCACTGATTCTTCACATCTGCCGTCTTCGTTTTGTGCACCAGCAGCCGGCGTTTCTTGACACTCCAAGACCAAATTGGAATGGTCCCCGCCACCGTTCGCTTCTTCGCCTGCGCCTGCCCCGTCTTCGGTTGGCCCAGCCTCGCCTTTTTCCAATTCAGCATGCTGACCGCGAGAACGATGGCCACACCAATAGACTGCACGTCCTGGCAGTTGCCAGCCATTCTCGGTAGCGTGCGCCTCGTCGCGGCGGGGAACTTCAGCTTGTCCACAGGCACTGTGTGCAACAGGAGCTTCTCCGTGTTGGTCAAGAGTCTGCAAGCTGCCCCGGCGCCTGCGCGAATGACGATCTTCGACGACGTGGTGACTGTGGGACCTAGGCACAAAGAAGCAACATAAATGCACCTGTGTTTAGGTGGAACGCCTTATTATATTTTGCAATTAAGTCTAGGCAGGTTACCAGTATATTTTACTACTAGACGATGTTAGACTGTAGTTATACTAACACCGTGGCCGAGCATCAAAGGTTGTCACCACACGGCATGCGATCCGCGCTCTGCGAAACGTCCACCGCCAACACCTTGGCCTGGCCCAACTTGGCTTCGGCCAACTGCAAGACTTCCGCCTCTCTTGCTGTCAGAAAGGAAAGCTTGCGCAGGGGCGGCAACTTCCCGGCTTTCCTTTGGGCTTCGCGGTGCTTGAGGATCCACTTCGCCGTCGCCGTCGTCTTCCTGCTCGCTTGCGCTCTCGCCACCACCGGCTTCTTCATCTGCTTTGCCGCCCCCTTCGCTGACGCCGACGGAAGCAAAAACATGGAAAGCGGTTGCTGCATCTTCTGCTCAGCAACAGACCCCAGCATTGCCGCCACCAGCGCCTTCGTCGTCCGCCAGCACCCAACCATCAGGCTATCCTCCCGGAGGCAGAGGATGAAGACGCGTGGCCGTCGAAGCCCTCTGCCCAGCTGCGTCGGGCAGAGCTTCACCGCCAGCAGCCGATAGCCCGGCAGCATCGCCTGCACCTTCGCCGACACCGACGCCCAGAAACACATGATCCCCTGCACGTGTTCCAGGATCGCGTACAGGGGCTGTGTCTGCGCCACCGCCTGCAGGCACGCCACGAACACCCGAGCACGGGGATCGCTCCATCCCCGTCGCCTGCGCCCGCCTTTGCGCCGCATCCGGGACCATGGCTGGCAGGGAACCCCTGCGAAGTAGCCGTGGATGCGCATGTGCGCCAGCGCCGACGCCTTCCTGGCCAGGACATCCCCGAAAAAGCTCCCGGCAGGAGCATTCGCCCGGCAGAATGAGCCTGCGCCTTCGCAGATGTCGCTGGCAAACACAACGCTATGCTGAAACCCCAGCTCTCTCATCGCCAGCACCTCCGCAGACATGCCGCAGCAATCACTTCCGAGCGCCTGCGCCGGCGGCTGCGACAGCTGCAGCCCATTGCTTTCCAGGACATCCCGAGCTGCTGCCTGCATTCGCTTTCGGGTGGTACTTCCCCACCCCCGGAGGAACTGCTTAAGCGGAGTTGGCAAAGCCATCCCCACGCCGTCTCCCGCGATTCAACGTCTGCAGCCACCGTTCAGAAAACTTTCTGGACAACGTTCTTAGTGTATGTTAATACAACAATGGACATAAACACTGAGACAATACTAATTCATATTAGAACGTGAACATACAATGTGATGTACATCTCAATATACAAAAACTATTCATTGTTATGATATACATCATACCGGCTCTCATCAGTCTCAAGCACACTCGTGCTACAATCATGTATACGGATCCTGACATGAAAATGGTCATGCATAGCCAAGACAACTGTCAGCAATGCAAGTGCGGGCCAGGCAAGCTTTGTTTTGCTCCCACCAGCGCCTGCTCTGTTGCTCCCAGCCTTGCCTGGCTGAAGTGGCTGAAAAGATGATCTAAGCCGCGCCCGCGCCGGCATCACGAACCGCCTGTGCACTCGGCATCCATATAAGCGCCGCGCCCGCGCCGGCGTCACGAACCGCCTGTTCACTCGGCATCCATAAGCGGCACTTCGTCCTCCTCGCCATCCTCCTCGTTTTCGCCCTCCTCGTCGCCGTCGTCGCCGCCGCCATCCCCGCCATCGCCTGCGACCACATCCTTGAAGTGGAGCTGGATGAGGTCCGCCAGCGACTGCGTCCAGAGGGCATGCCCCTCTGTCGCCGCCAGCGCCAGCGCCTGCCTGTCCACCAGGTTCTCCAGCCACTTCCGGTGCTTCTCGTTGCCGCAGAAGCCCGTGTACCGGATGCCCTTGGACAGGCACGCCGACGCCAGCGCCCCAGAACCAGGTGACAGGTCGACGACATCCTTCACCATATGGTTCTTCACCAACGCCTGCCACACCGCCACACCCTTGGACTCCTGCCAGAACAGTGGCACGCCCGCGCTTGCGCCCTCGCCATCCGCCCACGCATCCGGTGCTCGGTCCGCCGGCGCCGCATCCGCGTTCATGCCAAGGATCTCGGCCTTGTCCGCCCACGCCAGCTTGGGAAGCTTCGCCGACGCCAGGAACGGCACGTTCACGTAGTTCGTGTCCGCCGTCGTGACTTTCGCGCCAGCGCCGCTGCTCTTGGAGACAAAGTCATCCTGCTTTCCAACTATACATACCAAAAAAACTCAATACTATATTCAATCAGGGAAAACTTGATATCCTAAACATATGATATGAAAAACTGAAACATCCGTATGCTGCCTGCCGCTCCACGGCGGCCAGGCGTACGCGCGGCGCCGGCAGCTTGACGAAGATGATCTCCTTGTTCACCTGCCCGCCCACCACCTGCCGCGTTGACGCCCGCACACATGGGCCTGCGAAGCTCACCCAAAGCTCGAAGAACTGCGTGTAGTCCAGGTCCTTCACCAGCGCCTCTTCGATCGTCGCACGTGCCGCGCGACAGCGCCCATCGCCGACGCAGACGAAGTCGCACGACCCTGCCAGCCCCTTCAAGAAGGCGCACTTCTGCGAAAACCGCTGTTTGACAGAGCCGCTCATCTCTGACACCTGCGCCCAGCCCTGCTTCTCCTCATGCTCCAGGTCGGCCATGAGAAAGTAGCCGCGGTGCTTCTCGTTCAACTTCCCGTGGAAGTTGCCAGCTCCGCCTGCACCTGCACGGGCCAAGGCCGACTGCAACGCCTCCTTGGTGCACGCCTGTGGCAGCACCAACAACTGGCACAGGCCTTTTCTGAGCCCCCGCGCCTTTGCCAACACCTCCGCCCGCTCTCGGCGAGTAGTCTCCCTGACCTCCTCCAGGTCGTCGCCGGCGGCGCACTTTTGCATCAGCAGTGACAAGGGTGCCGACGCCAGCGAGTCCTCCTGGATCGAATCAACCGCCACCACGCCGGTGCTCAAGCCGGAAACCCCTCTGTCCAGGGTGTCCAGGGCCTCCCGCCAGTCCTTCAGCACGGGGTTGTCGCCTTCGCCTGCAAGGAGTTGCGCGACCAAGTTCTCTTTGTCATTGAAGGTTTTGAGGTCCGCGTCGTAGCCGCCGCCCAACAAGTTGCTGACGTACGCGATGAAGTCGGCCGCGTAGCCTGGCGGGACCGCGTCCTTGGAGGAAAACACAGCAGACCAGAGGCCGTCCTCTGAGACTTTCACAGACTCCGCCTCCGCTGCTTTCGCCAGCGCCTGCCTCGCCTTCCCCAAATCATTGATCTGCTGCAAGGCATGGCTCGCCCACGCCTCCTCCGAGGTGCTCAGCACGCCGCACACCTTCCCCAACACCGCCAGCTTGCAAAGCGACATCGCCACCCAGCCCACGCCAGCGCCGGCGCCTCTGCCGCCCTCGAAGAAGTCCGAGGTCGCGTCCTGCGCCTGCAGTTTCTCGCCGTCCACCTCAACAAGCAGGAGGTGCAGCAGCTGTTCCTGGGATGTGTATAAGCAGTGTATGCCGAATAATTAAGGAGGAACTCAACATCTTAGCTTATTATGAAGACATAGACACATGGCATGTACAAAACTTTACCAGTAGTGCCACCACCGGATCGATGGCTTCTGAGTTGTCCGCGCCAGCGCCTGCGCGTCGCATCACGTTGTGCAACTTGGAGTGGCCTTCCGTCAAGATCGCGCGCCCGGCCTTGCTTTCCAGCTCCTGCAACAACGCCTGCGCCTTGTCTGACAGCTGCGCAATCGCCAGAAGAGCGTAGTGCAACATTCGATACACCGGCTTCCCCATGAAGTTGAGGCCGATCGCCTTCCAGTGCTCCAGCTGCTTTCCGATTCCTTTCACCTTTGAGGATAAAAGCAACTCACACAGCATACATACCAATACTACATATAATCATATCAAAAATTAATTGAATAGGTAAAGCATGCGTTGGTATATTAATATTGTTTTCCAATATGACAAATCACCCCACAATTCTCCACGATGATCTGGAACTTTTTTGCAAACGTGATGACGTTGTCATCCGCCACCGCCAGCACCTGCTTTTTCTTGTCTGTCGCCTGCCAGAGCATCAGCGCCAGCGCCTGCTTGCTCGTCCCCACATACAGCCGGATCGTGACTGTCAGTGCACACTCGTACAGAAGTCGGACGCGGTCCTGGTTCTCCGCCCTGAGGGCTTCGAACATCGCCAACCACCACGCCACCACCAGCGCGTGATTTTCCACCAGCGTCAGTGCCTTCGGCATGCAGTCGCCTTCGCCCGCGCCCGGCGGGTAGAGGACAGAAATGTCCTCCACCCAGGCACTCAAGGTTGCCGGAAACACCACCCGCGCCAGCTCCTGCGCCTCCTCAAAAAGAGGCTTCAACTCCTCCACCTGCGCCCGTGTGCAATCTTGCACAGGCAGCACCTCCTGCGCCCGCGCCCCCGCCGGCACCCAAAACAGGCTCCCAGCGGCCTCGTACAAGCCGGAGGCCCGGGCCGCTGTGGCGCAGTTGCGCGGGCACCACTTCTCCTTGAAGGATGCAACGCCCCCGCCAGCGACATCCCTGTCCTTGATCGACAGCGGCTCAAGCTCAGCCAGCGCCGGCGCCTCATCGTAGAAGCCCATCTTCACCAGCGCTTCGGCCAGCTTGTACTCGACCTCACCAAATCAAAGCTACAAAAGAAATAAATACCCCGTGAGCTAAACAAGTCCAAACAAGCAACACACAACCTGTTTAACTTAAGAAAACATGAAAGCACTTGTATGTTTCATTATGTAAAGAATATATAATACACATACACATATATGAACATACATACATATACATACATACATACATGTACACATGTGTACATATGTGCACCTATAATACATAATCACAAAAAATCATATACTAGTATAGTAATATATTTATAGAAACACATCTGTATTCAGTTCAGGCACCCATGGCACCAGGTCCTGCACCACACGGGTCGCCTGCGCCTGGTGGCGATCGTTCCCAACCGGAAGGGTCGGCAGTGGTGGGATCGCTGGCACCTGCGGCCCCTTAGTCCTCTTTGCAGCCGGCACGACACCTGGCGCAAGCGCCGGCGCCGGTGTCTTCTTGGGCTCGACGACTTTGGGCGCCGGCGCCTTTGGTGTTGGTGCCTGCCCCTGCGCCTTCGCCTGCCCCGCCTTTGCCACCAACGCGTTGTTCGAGGAAAGCGCCATCACGATTAGAAGGATCGAAACAGTCAATGTACGAAAGCTCGAGAATGTGAACTCTGCACTGCATGCACAACGTGGGAGCAGCAGCTCTTTGGCAAAAATCAAGCAAACATCAAACAAGAACCCTTCGGAAACCCTGTCACAAGCAGCACTGCGCAGGATCGCAACCCTTGCACTGCAAAGGCGCCTCGCCTGCCCTGCTCGGCAGCGATATAATAAGGAACAGGAGCGACGCCTGTCCCACAACACATGTTCAAGCTCCAACACCTGAAACCCTCGTAGTCCTGCTGGCAGCAGTCGTAATCGATAAAGTAGCAGTGGCAGTAGGAATAGTAGTCTAGCAGTACTCGCCGTCCTAGTAGTAGTCGTAGTATACATATATATATATATAGTTCATACCAGCCATACCAGACATAGCAGCAAAATCAAACACTTCCCTTTTGTTGTGTAATTCAGTACTTCTGGTATGATTCACAATATAACCAGAGGCTTTTACACATTGCATACCATGAGATATTTTGTACATAACAAACGAAAAATTGAATTTTAATTTCCCCAATTCAAAACCACACTACTCAACAGTTTTACAGCATGACTAATTGTAGTGGATTAATTCCTGTTGGAACAAACTGTTTACGTAGCCTTGTCTATATCAATTTAGAATCGTATATTAACCAAAACACGAACCATACCCAAAACCACGTTGACACCAAACATTAACATGTGTTGTGTAGTTCCATTCTTCTGGTATGATTCATAATAAAAGGCTCCTGATGCCGACACATTGCATACCACGATAAATCTCATACATACACACGACAAACTTGTGATTACACGACTGGCAGTGCTATGTAGTTCCATACTTTTGGTATGATTCATCATTAAATTAAGGTTTTAAAGTCTACACGTTTCATACCATGATAAATTTGCAAAATTCTATTTTTAAACCCCACACCACTGACATTCCGGTTCGTTAAAATGTATGCATAAATTTTATCGCGGTATGAAACGTGTAGACTTTAAAACCTTAATGATGAATCATACCAGAAGTATGGAACTACATAGCACTGCCAGTCGGATAATCTCAAGTTTGTCGTGTGTATGTATGAAATTTATCATGGTATGCAATGTGTCGGCATCAGGAGCCTTTTATTATGAATCATACCAGAAGAATGCAACTACACAACACATGTTAATGTTTGGTGTCAACGTGGTTTTGGGTATGGTTCGTGTTTTGGTTAATATACGATTATAAATTGATATAGAAAAGGCTACGTAAACAGTTTGTTCCAACACGATTTATCCACTACAATTAGTCATGCTGTAAAACTGTTGAGTAGTGTGGTTTTGAATTGGGGAAATTAAAATTCAAGTTTTCGTTTGTTATGCACAAAATGTCTCATGGTATGCAATGCATAAAAGCTTCTGGTTATATTGTGAATCATACCAGAAGTACTGAATTACACAACAAAAGGGAAGTGTTTGATTTTGCTGCTATGTCTGGTATGGCTGGTATGAACTATTGATATATATATATGTATATGTGTATATTCTTCTGTATTGTTTGGACGGCAACAACTACTAGACTACTATTCCTAGTGGATGGTGACTAATGGTGATATTGTCTTTTAAACCGTTCTACATCTTTTCTGCTATGGCATATCCCTGAACATACGAATCCTACTATATCTCCCAGCATTACCAACCATAATACTTTAATATATAAATAAGTTGTTTTGGTATGATTCCCAATGTACCTTTATAGATTGTATACTGTGGTAAATTATATACATACCAGAACAACAACTTCACAGATTCATAGCGTTTGTGATACCGTTTGTCACTGGTGGAGAACAGGGATTGGGTCTCTATACTTGACCCAAATGAACATCAACAGTGCAGTGAATCAAACGGTATGAGGCTCCCACATAAGCAGTATGTATCATACACAAAGTTACAGTGCTTTATTAGGCCGAATGATGATCATATCAAGAAACATTTATTGCATACCAAAAAAAAATAATGATACACTTATTGATTGAGTATGTAAACACATTTCTACTGTATACAAACATTCATAGTGACAAAGGACATTTCCACGAGAACCCTGCTGGTGTAAGCAAAGCAGCACCACAGCCCCTTAGGAGAGTATTTCAAAATACTCAAAGGTAATTTTGAGGCTTCAACCACTCAGAATTACCTCAGAGTATTTTGAAATACTCTGAGGTAATTTTGGGCTTCTAAAACTGCGAATTACCTTTTTGGATAATTGTAATAATAAACCGTCTGAAAAGGTAATTTTGCAGTTTCAAAGCTCAAAATTACCTCAGAGTATTTCAAAATACTCTGAGGTAATTTGGCCTGGCTAAAACTGACAGCAGATCTGCTCGAGCAAAATAGATCCCTAACTGGCTGATAACCTTGAGCTAGTACTGAGCAAAATAGAACCCCAAATGCTGTTACATACTGGTTTTATTTGAAGCCCATACCCATACTCTTAGTTTGTCGCTCATGTTTTTGCTTGCTAGCTACCTGAAGGACAACATGATAGAAACCTTACTGAAAACAACTTTTGCCACACAGTGACCCCAAGCTCAAGAAAACTTACTGAGAACAATATTTTTCATAAAGGATTTAAACATGCATGTTTTCTGATTAAAAAAAAATAAACAATGAAAGCAGCACGAAACTGTAAAGAATAGTGCAAATGTAAACACCGCCACTGCTTCATACCGACAACTGAATACATCCCACTCCTACACAAAACAAATGCACCATATATGAGTGTATATGTATGAAACTGTTTCTGGTATGATATTAGCTATTAATATCCAAAATAATATTTATCATACCAAACACACATATTAATATATCAAATATAATATATGTTAACACCTATTTGTCTTAAGTATGAAATAAATACTTGTGGATATAAAAAAAACACAAACCAAACTCCCGAAAACACCCCCCTTACCCTGCTATGGTTCCTGTAAGGACACGATGTAATGGTATGTGATGCAAGTATACGAATCCTTAACCCTGGGTTTTCATTTGTCATGCTACCATAACAAGCGTACCTACCCCTAAAAAAAAACATAAGGAATGATAATTATATCAACCACAATAGCACGGATACTGCAGCGCGTGTTATCAGTATGTGGCATCTTGAAATAACTATATTAACCAATTTACCAATGTTACTTAAACACATACTGCAGGACTACAGCTAAACATCCCAAGTGGTACTTATTATTTACACTTAAACCCTAAACCTACCTACCTCAATGACAACGTGATAGGTACCTTACTGGAAACACCTTTTGACACACTGCAACCCCAAGCTCAAAAAATTCACTGAGCACAATATTTTTTATATGTATTTAAACATACATGTTTACAATAATATAGCAAGGCCCTTGTCAACCCTTATCGTCCCTGGTCTCTCTAAGAGCACAAACAGATCAAGGTAAAACGTAGACTAGTAGAGCACTCATACCCGCTGCTTCATACCGACAACTAAATACATCCCACCCCTACACAAAACGAATGCACCATATATGAGTGTATATGTATGAAATTTTTTGGTCTGATAATAATAGCTGATATCAAAATTATTCATCATACCAAACACACAGATTCATATATCACATGTAATACATGCTATCACCTAGGGATGAAAGACCTAACTTTGCATATATAAAAAGAATCGAAAAAACGCCCGAAAACACCCCCTACCCTGCTTATGGTTCCTATAAGGAGACGATGTAATGGCAGGTGATGCAAGTATACGAATTCTTAACCCTGGGTTTTCATGCTACCATAACAAGCGTACCTACCCCTAAAAAAAACATTAAACACATACTGCAGGACTACAGCTAGACATCACAAGCGGTACTTATTATACTACGCTTAAGCCCCAAACCTTACTCGCCCAGTTTTGGCTTGTGAAATTATTGGATTCAGGGTTCAGGGTTTAGGGATAGAGGGTTTCGTGCACTCCTTCAGAATTGCAGAACCCTAAACCATATAAACCCTAAAGCCCCAAACCACCTCTTAGCCAAAGCCCCAAAACCTGAAATCCAAACAGTCTCATGGTATCCTTTGAGCTTTAGGGTCTAGGGTTTGGGGTTTGTTGTGCATGCGAACGACGACATGTGCCTAGACTGCTAAGAACCATGCAATTGTCCATACAATTCAGTATTGCAGCTGCTGCAATGGATCGTCTTAATATTTTCAACCATATAATAACATATTATGAATTTATAAGAGTGGTATGCTTTATTTAGGTTCTGAGCTCACCCGTGCCTCTTCAATCTTCCTCGGCACGGTCGATTCAAGACCTGAGTCGCAAAAGAAGCCATTGGTGCAGAAGTTCTAGGCTGCAGTGTCAGACAGCTAATTAAACAAAAGTATACTTGCTTTTCCTCATCCGCTGCATGGCGTCTGCTAACACGTGCCTACTACGCCTACGCCCACCAACACCACCGCCAGTGCCTCCTGGCCCATCTACGCCCGCGCCTGTTCTAGGATCGCCTTGGTATACTTAGCGAAGAGCACCCTCTTGGATCGCCTTGGTATACTTAGCGAGGAGCACCCTCTTCTTGGGATCCTCCTGGAGAAACTCTGTGACCATCGCCTTCGCTGCCGCGGACGCCTCGCGCAAGACCGGGCTCTCCTTCTTGGCCAGAAACTTCTGCAAGTCCGACTGCTTGCGGATGAACTGCTTGCCGACGTTAATCTCGAGGAAAGTCGCCCCAAACGCCCACGCCTCCGTCGCAACCGTGGGCAAGTGCCCCTGGCCATCTTCTGCCGCCGTCCACAACTCCGGGGCCTTGTAGGGCCCTGTGTAGCAATTCATGAAGACGCCGTCGCCTGCTTTGACAGTCTCCATTTTGATCGCCAGGCCGAAGTGACAGAGACACGCCCTGCGCTCCAGGGAACTCCACAACACCGCCGCCGGTTTCAAGTCGCAGTGGAGAAAGCCCAGGTTGTGCAGGTACGCC